GAGCAGAGATGGGTTGGTGTGACTAATTCAAGATTCTCAGACTCTAAAAGGACTGCTGGAGGGAAGGAGATGAAGAGTCTCAGTTAAGGAGAAGATGTATTTTTTTAAAGGATAAGATTTCAGAAAAGATACAGAAAAAGTCAAACAGCAAAGGACATGGGTATAATTGACAGTTGTCCTTTCTCCCTTATCTGGAGAGGACACAGGGGGGCGGGGCCTCTGTGGATCTGGGTGCTTGAGGAAGTGCTGTCACCAGGCAGCACTGACCCCGTGGGTCTGATGGAGAGGTACCTGGCCCCCAGCAGTCCTCTCCTGCTTGCCTTCCCAGCTCCTAGTCACTGCAGAGTGCTCAGGAGCTCCCCACCAGGCGCATTGTGCCGGTTCCCAGACCCTGGCTCTCTGCAGTACTTTTTCCCCGAAGAGGTCTCAGGGAATTGCTAAAATCCAGGCATTTGGCTTCCATCTCTTCTTGGCATAGTGCTCAGCCTGACAGCTAAGTTGGGTGTGCTTTTTTCCTGGGAAGGCATCCTGACTTGGGGAGCTTAGCTCTCTGGAACCCAGGGAAATGTAACTGTATGTCCCCATGTTGATCCAGCAGTGTTCCTGGCTGGGCCCCTGTTCCCTGTAAGAAGTCTGAGGGGAGCAGCTCCGTCGCCCACAGACCTCAGGATCACAGCCGTCCCTCCCCCCTCAGTATGCCACCAGCTGCTGCCTGGTGGCTGGAAATGGCTTTCCGGGAGGGCCGGGCACTTTTCACAGTGGGTGCTTCTCTGATCACTAACCAGAGCAGATAGGCAGGTCTCAGGAAGTCCACCTAGCCAGGGCGTTTGTGAGGCCCGCATGGCCTTTCCTTAGCCCGGCTCTTCCCGGCAGGGCCCCAGAGCCTACCTCCAGGCTGTGCCAGCTTGTTGGGACCCGTTTCTCCTAATCTCTCTCTGCTCCTCTTCCATCCATCAAGCAGAATGCTTTCTGGTCCCCTGACAACGTCCTGAGCTATCTGGCTTCCCTGACTTGTTCACGCTCTCCTTTATGCCCAGCTACTCAGTTCCTCTTTCTGCAGGTTCCGAGGCTTCCCAGGGATGCTGTTTGGTCCATTTTAAGTACCACCTTCTCCTTGAATCCTTCATCGTATTTTCTGGCAATTAGTGGTACCTGATGTCATCTGAATTTTCCCAGCAGTTTATCTGTCCTCCTCCTCTGGCCCCTGGGACTCAGGCCGCCTTCCCTGTGCTGTGGCTGTGTGCACAGCATGGTGCATAGTTTCCCCACCAAACCAGACTCCTAGTGAGCAGGCATGCCTGTCCCCACATTCCTTCCCTGTCTAGCAGGGGCACCACATGTGCAGACCTGTGTGTGGATGTGAAACAGGGTGGTGGTGGGTGGGCAGGCACATGGGTAGATGGCTGGACAGGAGAGGGGATGGTACACACTGGTCCCATGGACTGTAGTGTCCATGGTTTCATCTTGCCCAAGACAGATTGCCCCAGGGCAGCCTCTGCTGGGTTCCTCCCCACCGTCTCCCTCCCCACTATGAAGATAGAATGCAAGTATATTTTTAAGAGTTTGTTACATTTGTCAAATGAATTTGATGTTTCTTGTACTTAATTTAAAAATCCTGAGAGCAGAATACTTAGTATTTCTTCAAAACAAATAGAATCTATGGTGAGCTGTCTTTTCCTCATGTTCGACATCTTGCCTGATTGGTTTTTGGCCTTTGTAGACTCGGGCTCTCCGTGAAAGCAAGGGTCCTCATCCTAAACTCAGCACAGCACCTGCCACACAGCAGAGTCTCTGGAAATCCTGAACTAAATTGCACGGTGGCTGAGCCGAGGAGCCCTTACACCTCTGCCACTTGGAGAGGGCCCTCTAGGTGTGCTAAAGGGGGTTCTCAGCTGGGCAGAAGAGTGAGGCTGGTGTGCCTACCAGATGTGCCCTCTGCTGTGGCCGCCCCCTTTAGTCTTGCAATCTGGGCCCAGGCTCCCCTCTCCCTCTGCAGAGGCTCCCGTGGGGACTGGCACTTACTCAGACCCGGTTGCAGATGGCCGTCCCCACTAGGGCTGTGCAGTAGGCATCACTGGCAGAGTGCCATCTGGGTGCCAGGCAACTCGCCTTGCTGGGAGGATGTGTTGGGTCCACCCTGCCCCCTCTCCCCACCCACCCCTGCTGTTGAGGTAGTCACAGCCAGCCACTCCCCATCCGGGAGTGTTTTCCATGGACAAAGCACCAGTTTGGTGGCCAGAAGAAACCCAGGCCTCTTGGGGTCTACACATGTGTCCAGAGAGTTTTTCTAACTTCCTTTGATTCTCATAGCAACTTGGAGGGAGGGAAGGGGTTCTCACCTGGCAATGGAGAAACTGAGGCTCAGAAAAGAGAAGTGGCTTGTCCAAGCTTGCACAGCTAGGGGAGCTGGGATAACTCCAGCATTTCTCAAATCTTAATATACCATAAAAAAGAAAACTCTTAAAAATGCAGGTTTCTAGGCTCTGTTCCCAGAGATTCTGTAGTATGGCCCAGAAATCTGCATTTGTAACAGATTCCCCCAGATATTCCCAGTTCACTCTAAAGAAACTCTCCCCTAACATAGCTGCATGGAGAAATTGCCTCCCCTGGGGTCAGCTCCATTCTGGAGGGGAGGCAGCCTCCGAACCAGGCAGACTGGGTGTGAGACTCCGGCTCCATGGTTGGGCAGCGGCGTGATGTGGAGTTTGCTGTCTCATGTCTCCGCACCTTGGTGTTCTCATTGGTGAAATGGAGCTAGTAACTCCAGTCTCACAGACTTGTTGGGAGAACTAAGTTAAATAATGTATATAAAGAGCTGTTTATGTTGTGTTTGACTAAAAAGAACCCAAATTTCTCCTAAGTAAGTCCATGTATCTCTCTTCATGCCCTTTTTTTGTGGCTTTTCCTTCCTGGAAACCCTTTCTGCCATCTCTCCTGTTAACTAAGTGTTGCTGGTCCGGTCAGTTGTAATAGCCCACGACTAGTGTCTCATTACCTTCTAAGGTGTGCAAGGAAGTCCCCACCCTGGGTTTTGGACAGGTGTCTACCTCAGCTCAGGTTCTAATTGCTATGCCTTCTGGAGTTTGAGAATTAACACAACTGCCTTAGCTCACTCAGAAAATGCCTAGAACTTCTAGGTTTTGTTTTGTTTTTGGTTTTTCCTTTTCTGTAATTTGTACAAGTAAACAAAATCCTCCTGATGCCCTCCCCCTCACCACCAGTTCATTTCCTTTGTAGGGATTCTGAAGGCAGATCCTGTAGGTTGAGGTGGACTGCAGGAGAGGTTTTATCCAGCTGCATCCTGAATTCATTCTCAACTTGCTGGCTTCATCAACCCACAACTTACTTTGCTGTGGGAAGTCTGAATTCGAGCTAGAGAAGGTAGACACTCCGGATTGGAAGGAACTTTGGAGATTGGGACACCCTGCCCCTGTTGATGGGCTGGTGCTTGAGTTCCTCCAGGGATGGGGTTCTCATCTCCCCATGGGAGGCAGTGGCATCACTACAGTTTTATTTATTGATTCCTCTTGCTGTTCTGAGAAATTCAGAAAGTTTCTCCAAACCAGGTAGTCTGGGAGCAAGTGCAGCAGGCAGGGTGAATGTAGCACATTCCATTTACTGAGGCTGGGATGTACCAGAGTTTATCAAGATAGGCACGCAGACTCTGGAGCAGGGTTATAAGGTGAGCTTGACATCAAACAGCAGATGGGCTCTGGAGTTGGGTCACCCCAGCACACTATCTCTTACATAGACTTTACAGTTTGATAACTGCCTTAATGCACTTTATGTTCAGACCCTGCAGGCCTGAATGAAGCCCACCATTCCTCCCTGACTAATGGCAGAATGAATCCTAGAATCTGGAGAGGAGCTATGGCTGAGGTTGGGAGCCAGGTGGTCCAGTGGGTAGAGAGGAAAGATGAAGGGATGTAGAATTGGGTGTTTGGAGGATGGATTTGGGGCTGGGTGGAGGTACAGAGGTACAGAGGACTCAACCCATCAAGTCCTGCAATTCGTTTCAGTAAAGGTGAGTTGCTCTTCCCAGGTGATGATACTTCCAGCTTGCTTTATATAAGATTTGTCTCCTGAATCACTAACTAGGGACAAACTCATCATTTTAATTGAACTGGGGTGCACAGAAGAAAATGTTTCAACTGGTTTAGGGGCTCAGGGTTCTCCATGGGGGTGGGGGCTGAAAGATGGGATTTGCAAGGACTGACTACAGGAGGAGGACAATGTGCTGTCCTCAGGGGTTCTGTTTTCCAGCTCTTTGCCTCTTCTCCAGCACTTTCTTGCAGCAGTGGGATTGGAAATACTCATAGAATGGCCTGTGTGATGGGTGCTTTCTCCAGCCTACCACTGTTGTAGACTCTGTCCTGGGCGTGTGGGGAGAGGGCTGTGCCAGCTGGCATTACAGCTGAAATCTCAGAACCCACATTTCAAAGCAATCACGGACAAAAAAAATTAGGCTTAGCTGCACAGCTCATAAATACTTCCAGATACACAGCCACAGGCCCCCCAGAAATAAATGCTCACACAGTACCCTGGGTCCATGGGCAAGTTGCCAGACCTGCCCCCACGCCATCCAGGGTCCTCTGGGGGCATTGCCATGTGAAGGGGAGAATTCTCAGCCTGGGGGTCAGACACCCAGGTTCTTGTCCTCCATTTCTAATCCCTTCCTGTGGGGCCCTGGGCAGGTCACTCAGCCTCTCTGGGCCTCATTCTCTCATCTTTGTTAGAAGTGATGATGTCTACATTAGAGGTTGGTGGGAAGAATCAACTGAGGTGAAGTATGCAGAGGTGTTTATAGACTGTAAAGTGCTGTGCAGATCTTAGCTGGGCTATAAGGAAATCCTTTAGAGCCCATTCTTAGTGCCTAAAACGTCAAGTTAAAGACAAATCAGAGGCTAAACTTAGGGTCTCACTCCCCTGGAGGCAGCATGTGTAGTCTCTCTGGAGACAGAGAGTGGTTCCAGGCCTCCTCCACTGCTTCAGGCCTTGGTTTCATCATCCAGGACATGGGGTGGTACTGCCCCACTCGGACACCTGTCATGAGGAGTGAGCAAGAGATCATGCAGGTGGGTGCTCGGCCAGGGCCTGGTACGCAGGTGCAGCTGTAACACTAACACTGTACCAGGAAGGACTTTGAGAGTTATCACTGAAGATGAGGTTCTGTGATGATTTGTTGGGGAATGCTGGCCCCTGATTTAAACCCTTAACATACCGCTTTGCTTCCCTGCCAATGTTGTTTGATCTCTCAACAACCCATGAGGTAGGCAGAGCAAAGATTTTCATCTTCATTCTGTGGATGAGGATACTGAGGTGCAGAGGAGGGAAGTGGTTTTGCTCAAGGCCACAGGGTGAGTCATTGGCAGAACAAGAGTGTCCGGACCCTCAGAACAGCCCTTCTAGCTCTGAGTGATTTTGAGGTTGGAAATCCAATCCCAAAATGCATCCCTGGTGGGCTGTAGCCTGGAGAGCTGGGTCTGTCATGGATAGAGCAAAACATTAAAAAATCAGCAACAATAACATAGTTATTATGTTTCAGGTAACATCCTAGGTGCTTTATGTATATATATCAACTCACTAAATCCTCAAAACCCCAAGGAAATCTGCACTATTATTTTCCCATTTTACAGATGAGAAAACAGGCACAGAAAACTTGCCCAAGGCTGCACAGCTGGTATATGGCTAAGAACCAGATTTTGGAAGCCCAGGGGGCTGGCACTGGAGTTCTACCCAGTGTTCCCACTTCAGGGACTCAGCGTGTGACAGTCAGTGCCAAACTGGCCAGGGTGTAGAGATGAGCATTTATGAGCAGTTTGACCACGCATGTTATGCTGCTGAAGTGCTGTGCATCCTGGGGCAGACATCCTTCCCTACCGTCCCCAGCCTCAGGTTGCCCACCTTTGGCATGGGAGCACTGACTGTCCAGCTCTAAAGAAGGTGGCATTTCTCTGGGTCCCAGGGAAGGCCTGGGGTGTGCAGTGGCCAGCTTGAGCTCTGGGCCAGCCATTGTGTGCTAGGTTCACAGGCCAGCCATGTGTGACCCCAGCACTGCCAGGCCCTCTCCGGGGAGGAAATGTCTGTGTTTAGAGGAAATGCAGGAAAAGGCTTGGGGAGTGGGTGGAGGAGGGGCAGCCGGCCTCCTGGTGCCCTGAACATGGGTCTGGGTGCTAGTGGCAGGGCTGAGGGTAGGTGCCCCTCTTCTGGCCCCAAGGACAAGAGTTGTTGTTGAAAGGTCCCACTTTGCAAGCAGTCCTTCCCTTCCCCTACTTCTTCACTCCCAAGTTTGCCACTCCCTGCCTGCCCCCAAAACTCCAGGTAGCACACGTGCTACCTGCCTACAGCTACCTCTATCACCATGAAAAGGCAGAAGAATTTTGTCCAGTCCAAAACTACAAAGACAAACCCCAAGAGAGGGCCTGGGGAGATAGACTTCACCAATCTATGTGAAAAAGAATTCAAAATAAAGGTCATAACCATGCTGATGGATCTGTAGAGATATATGCAAGAGCTAAAGGAGCAAGTACAGAGGGAGAATACAGAAATAAAACAATCTCTGGAAGGATTTAAGAGCAGAATGGATGAGGTGCAAGAAGCCATTAATGGAATAGAAATCAGAGAACAGGAACACAGAGAAGCTGACACAGAGAGAGATAAAAGGATCTCCAGGAATGAAAGAATATAAAGAGAACTGTGTGACCAATCCAAATGGAATAATATTTGTCTCTCAGACCATAGAGGCCCACAGAACCCCCAACACAGGGCCCCAAGCAGGACAACACCAAGACATATAATAATTAAATGGCAAAGATCAAAGACAAGGACACAGTATTAAAGGCAGCCAGAGAGAGAAAAAAGATCACCTACAAAGGAAAACTCATTAGGCTATCATCAAACTTCTCAACAGAAACCTTAAAGGCCAGAAGAGAGTGGCATGATATATTTAATGCAATGAAACAGAAGGGCCTTGAACCAAGAATACTGTATCCAGCACAATTATCATTTAAATATTAAGGAGGGATTAAACAATTCCCAAACAAGCAAAGGTTGAGGGAATTTGCCTCCCACAAACCACCTCTGCATGGTATTTTAGAGGGACTGCTCTAGATGGAAGCATGCCTAAGGGTAAATAGATGTCTCCAGAGAAAATAAAATCACAGCAAAGAAAGCAAACCAACCAAATACTAACTAAAGGCAAAAAAAAAAAATCAACTACTCACAAAAGGAGTCAAAGGAAACACAAAAGGACACAGAATAAAACACCTAACATATAAAGATTGGAAGAGTAGAAAAAAGAAGGGAGGGAAAGAATCGTCAGACTGTGCTTACAATAGCTTAATAAGCGACTTAAGTTAGACAGTTAAATAGCAAAGAAGCTAACCTTGAACCTTTGATACCAACAAATCTAAAGCCTGCAATGTCAATAAGTACATATCTCTCAATAATCACCCTAAATGTAAATGGACTGAAGGCACCAATCAAAAGACACAGAGTAACAGAATGGATAAAAAAGCAAGACCCATCTATATTCTGGTACAAGAGGCTCACCTAAAACCCAAAGACATATACAGACTAAAAGTCAAGGGATGGAAAAAGATATTTCATGCAAACAATAGGGAGAAAAAAGCAGGTGTAGCAGTACTGGTATCAGACAAAACAGACTTCAAAACAAAGAAAATAAAAAGAGATAAAAAAGGACATTACAAAATGATAAAGGAGTCAGCACAACAAGAGGATATAGCCATTATAAATATATATATGCACCCAATACAGGAGCACCAACATGTGTGAAACAAATACTAACAGAATTAAAGGAGGAAATAGAATGCAATGCATTCATTTTAGGGGACTTCAACACACCACTCACTCCAAAGGACAGATTCACCAGACAGAAAATAAGTAAGGACACAGAGTCACTGAACAACACATTAGAACAGATGGACTTAACAGACATCTACAGAACCCTACACCAAAAAGCAGCAGGACACACATTCTTCTCAAGTGTACATGGAACATTCTCCACAATAGACCACATACGAGGCCACAAAAAGCGCCTCAGTAAATTCAAAAAGATTGAAATTCTACCAACCAACTTCTCAGACAACAAAGGCATAAAACTAGAAATTAATTGTACAAAGAAAACAAAAAGGTTCACAAACACATGGAGGCTTAACAACATGCTTCTAAATAACCAATAGATCAATGACCAAATTAAAACAGAGATCAAGCAATACATGGACACAAATGACACTGAGAGTATAAAGCCCCAACTTCTGTGAGACACAGTAGAGGCAGTTCTAAGAAGAAAATACATAGCAATCCAGGCCTATCTAAAAAAGAAAGAACATTCCCAAATGAATAATTTAGTCAAAATTATTGAAACTGGATAAAGAAGAACAAATGAAGCCCAAATCAGCAGAAGAAGGGACATAATAAGGATCAGAAAAGAAATAAATAAAATTGAGAACAATCAAGCAATAGAAAAAAATCAATGAACCCAAGAGCTGGTTCTTTGAGAAAATAAACAAAATAGATAAGCCTCTAGCCAGACTTATTAAGAGAAAAAGATAATCAACACACATCAACAGAATCAGAAATGAGAAAGGAAAAATCATGAAGGACCCCACAGAAATACAAAAAATTATTAGAGAATACTACGAAAATCTATATGCTAATAAGCTACAAAACCTATTAAGAAATGGGCAACTTCCTAGAAAAATACAACCATCCAAGACTGACTAAGGAAGAAACAGAAAATCTAAACAGACCAATTACCAACAAAGAAATTGAAGCGGTAATCAAAAAGCTACCCAAGAACAAAATACCTGGTCCAGATGGATTCACGGCTGAATTTTATCAGACATATAGAGAGCACATTATACCCATTCTCCTTAAAGTTTTCCAAAAAATAGAAGAGGAGGGAATACTTCCAAACTCATTCTGTAAAGCCAGCATCACTCTAATAGCAAAACCAAAGACACCATGAAAAAAGAAAATTACAGACCAATATCCCAGATGAACATGGATGCAAAAATACTCAATAAAATATTAGCAAACCGAATTCAAAAATACATGAAGAGGATCATACACCATGGTCAAGTGGGATTCATCTCAGGCATGCAAGGATGGTACAACATTTGAAAATCTATCAACATCATCCATCACATCAACAAAAAGAAGGACAGAAACCACATGATCATTTCCATACATGCTGAAAAAGCATTCAACAAAATTCAACATCCATTCATGATAAAAACTCTCAACAAAATGGGTATACAGGGCAAGTACCTCAATATAATAAAGGCCATATATTACAAACCCACAGCCAACATCATACGTAACATTGAGAAGCTGAAAGCTTTTCCTCTAAGATCAGGAACAAGATAGGGATGCCCACTCTCTCCACTGTTATTCAAAATACTACTGGAGGTCATACCCTCGGCAATCAGACAAAACAAAGAAATACAAGGCATCCAGATTGGGAAAGAGGAATTCAAACCCTCACTATTTGCAGATGGCATGATATTGTACATAAAAATCCCTAAAGACTCCATTCTAAAACAACTAGAACTAATATGTGAATTCAGCAAAGTTGCAGCGTACAAACTTAATACGCAGAAATCTGTTGCTTTCCTATACACTAACGATGAATTAACAGAAATAGAAAACAGGAAAACAATTCCATTCACAAGGGCATCAAAAAGAATGAGATACCCAGGAATAAAACCAACCAAGGAAGTGAAAGACCTATACCCTGAAAACTACAAGACACTCTTAAGAGAAATTAAAGAGGACACTAACAAATGGAAATTCATCCCATGCTCTTGGCTAGGAAGAATTAATATTGTCAAAATGGCCATCCTGCCTAAAGCAATCTACAGATTCAATGCAATGCCTTTCAAAATACCAACAACATTCTTCAATGAACTGGAACAGATTGTTTTAAAATTCATATGGAACTGCAAAAGACCCAAATAGCCAAAACAATGCTGAGAAAGAAGAATAAAACAAGGGACATCTCGCTTCCCAACTTCAAGCTATACTACAAAGCCACAGTAATCAAGACAATTTGGTAATGGCACAAGAAAAGAGCCACAGACCAGTGGAACAGAATAGAGAGTCCAGACTTTAACTCAAACATATACAGTCAATTAATATATGATAAAGGAGCCATGGACATACAGTGGGCAAATGACAGCCTCTTCAAGAGCTGGTGTTGGCAAAACTGGACAGCTAGATGTAAGAGAATGAAACTGGACCATTGTCTAACCACAAACACAAAAGTAAATTCAAAATGGATCAAAGACCTGAATGTAAGTCATGAAACCATAAAACTCCTAGAAAAAAACATAGGCAAAAATCTCTTGGGCATAAACATGAGCAACTTCTTCATGAACATAACTCCCTGGGCAAGGGAAACAAATAAAGAATGAACAAGTGGAACTATATCAAGATGAAAACCTTCTATACAGCAAAGGACACCACCAAGAGAAAAAGGCATCTTACAGTATGGGAGAACATATTCACAAATGACAGATCTGATAAAGGATTGACATAAAAAAATGTATAAAGAGCTCACACACCTCAACAAACAAAAAGCAAATAAGCCAATTTAAAAAATGGGCAGAGGAACTGAATAGACAGTTCTCTAAAGAAAAAATATCCAGATGGCCAACAGGCACATGAAAAGATGCTCCACATCGCTAATAATCAGAGAAATGCAAATTAAAACCACAATGAGATATCACCTCACACCAGTAAGGATCGCCATCATCGAAAAGACAGACAACAACAAATGTTGGCGAGGTTGTGGAGAAAGGAGAACCCTCCTACACTGCTGGTGGGAATGTAAATTAGTTCAACCATTGTGGAAAGCAGTATGGAGGTTCCTCAGAATGCTCAAAATAGAAATACCATTTGACCCAGGAATTCACTCCTAGGAATTTA